AAAAAAACGAAGTCCAGATGACATGATTCAACCTTTTTTGTTGTTATATACCTGGATGACTGAGAAAACAAACTTTGTGTTTTTGAAACCATTAGTGAAAAGGCCAGACTTCAGGGGTATCTGAGGCAGGCTTGAAACACAAGAGTCAGGGTGGCTTCTGGGTAATACCAGATGGCTAGGCCTCAGACTGACGAAGCCTCTTGGATGAGGGGCGAAACGTTTCTTTTTAACAAAAAAACGAAGTCCAGATGACATGATTCAACCTTTTTTGTTGTTATATACCTGGATGACTGAGAAAACAAACTTTGTGTTATTTGCCTTCTGTTTATCAGAGCAAACTTTGTTTTTGTTCAAAGGTAACGTTTACTAAAATGTCCTTTAGTAAAGGAAGAACTTCTAAAGGTAAGCGCCATTGTACTGTCTCTGAAGTCAGTTGGCCAATATAAACTGTTGTGATTTTGCAAATTATGAATGTAATTTGTTTCTTTGATATGGTGTTTGCATAACTTGTATCTTGCATCATTGTAGTGTGATGCTGAGTGTTAGTGCTGTAATTATTTTTTGTAGATTGAAGTTGCCCAGATCACTTGGTATAATGCAATCTACACTCAGCTGTGTTATGTGATGTAATTGTTATATCTTCAGTCATAACATTTGAGAAGTACTGGTGTGCTTTCTGCTTGGGTGATTTTCAGTGAAAACTTTGTCATAATTTTTAACCATGCACTGGCTTGTAATGATTTCTTTTTTTTTTCATTCAACCTTTATTTATACAGGCTAATCTCACTGAGCCATGAAGGGTTTGGGGTGTTCAAATGACCTGAGCACAGAATTTCAGAAGCACTTCACCTTAGTTTTAAAGATTTAATTGAGACAAACTTAAAGTATGCAGATATTACATGTAATCAGAATGCAGTCTGAGGAACAAAGTCAGAGCGAACCTTGCCTGGTCAATCAGCCTCATGTTTGTTCAACTAATCTCTGTGTATGAGCGACATTTATAGGTTTCTCATGTCCCACCCTTTCGGGTTCGGAGAGACTTGTGATTGGGTGTCAAAACCTCTTGATGGTCCAAGTGACACCATGTTCAGCCACTCAGGAGCAGATCTTATCTCCATGGTTACTCCGAAAGCCACAGATGGCCTTGCTCATTCTTCTACTGATAAGGGTTAATTTACAAGCTTTGTTTTGGAACGCAGGAGCACTTACTCTCCAGCTTGGAGTTTGGCTTTCGTCTGTATAGAGCTTTAAAACACGATTTCTGTGTGTCTGAACTATTATTAATGTTAGAGCATAAATACTAAACCTGTGTTAAGTATAAAGTATATGAATGTTGTGATTTAGCGTTATTTATGTTTAATCAATGTGTGAGCAGTGTGTCACATTGCTGGGCCCTCAACTCTCAGCTGCTTTACTCAGAGAACAAAGAAGGATCGTTTCCTGTTGCACAAACAAGCGTCATACCTGTCTCTGTTTCCCTCAGAATTATATCAAATGTGAACTTGTATGATTATCCTTAGCACTTGTGAAATTATATATAACATGAAGTAATTAGTGTATGATTATCCTTAGCAATTGTGAGATTATATATATAAAACATAGTAAACACTTTAGAATTAATGCAGGCCTGTAAATATAGTTCACACCCTTGAATTCAGACACGCACACACCTTGTAGAAAATGCATCATTTCACATCATCAGAGAAATGTCAAGGCTTGTCAAAATTTATAAAAAATATATAAAAGATATCAAATCCAACAGCCACCAAGACTCATTTATAGGAGGAACCTGTTCCAGCCCAAACATATAAAGTACAGACAAAAATAACCGTAAACAATAATAATAAACTACAGTAAAAATGAAGTTAAAATTAAAGAAGTGTATTAAACAATAAATCAGGTGCCATAAAACATGGTGAAATAATAAAAACAACAACCTATTTGCTTTAATTATTTCCATTGGCATGGCACTCCCAAGGGGGGATCGGGGGGGGGGGGGGGGACACGACCATTCCTGGAATTGTGTTCAATTGATAGAAAGACATACAGAATCATCTTCTGCAATTAAGACGTAAGTGTAAAACCCAATAAATGTGTGCGTGTGAGTGTATGTA